AAGCCAAGAGAGAAGCAAAGAAGCAGAAGCAGAAGCAGAGAACGCCAGAGAGCCCAGATAGAGTGAGGATTTGCTGGGGGCTGGGAGGACTGCCAGCCTCCCGGCCCTCCAGCACCCCTGCCTGCCATGTGCCTGGTGAACCCCAATAAAAGACCTGCAAAAAACCGACTGAGGACTCTGATTCCTCCTTTACCCGGTCTGCATGGGATCAGAAAACCTGCACCGTGTCCAGTCCTGCCCCTTACACACACCTTTTATGGGAAGCCTGGAAGGAGACGGGGCGGGGGGTGGGGGTGTGTGGCTTTTGCTGTGGACCAACCGGGTGATCTTAAGGGTAAATAAAGGTGATTATGTTACTGGCAATAGGCCAGGGGTCTGCTGCCTGTCTCTACCAAAAAGCCAACAAGCAGAGATGGAACTGAATCTCTAAGTGCTTTCATTTTTCAGAATCGCTGACCATTGATCTGAGATAACACAGGGACCGTTCTGCCTCGTCATCGTGAGCTGGCCTTTCTACAATGACTTAAACAGAAACACTCATAAGCAAACAGCCCATCAGAACAGCCCATCATAGTAGATGTTCTTGGTATTCTTCACTTTCTGCTTCCAGAACTTGTTATCAGCCTCCAGGTTATCTTGATCCTGCTACATGGGTGGTATCCACATCTGGTTCTCATTCAGCATCACCAGGGCAGGAATTTCAGTTTTAAAGCAAGAGTTTTAATTTAAAGATCATTACTCATATAGTGTATACGTGCAGTCTGTGCCGTGTGTGCAGATTCCTACACTAGGTATGGTGCCTTCCCTTCCTCCTTAGCCCCTGTCACAATCACTAGTATGCATTTGTCTCCAGGCTATTAAACAGGCATAAATACTCCCCTCCACCCCCGCCCCATACACACACAAACAAGCATATGCATACCATGTAAAAAGTCCAGTAGTACTAATGGGCTTATAACAAAACACGGGTTCCTGTCCTCCCAGCCCCTAAACCACTTGCCCCTGTTTGCTTTCTTCTCTGCCAGCAGGCTATCTCTCCTGGCAAAATGCCAGCTGCAGCTGTGTTTTCAGCATACTAGCCTTCTGATTCAGCATAGTATCTTTCTGATCTACCACAGTTGTTAAGATGAAAGGACATCGTTTTGTTTCTTTTTCTCTGGGGAAGGTTTTTTATTTTGTGTTTGATCTTAAAAATACTTTGTGGGTGGTGCATGTTCAGATTGGCTTATTCATCACCTCCATTGACCCTCCAGCATGTCTTCCTATTCTATTGAGGCAGGAAGCAAAAGCCACACTTCCAGACTCCCTGATAGTTAAGGGTCCGCGAGTGACTGATGTGAAACTTGGAAGGTGGAGTGAGGAGAGCGAAGCACAATGGCAGGGGCTTTGGTTCTCTAGCTACAAAGAAGGTTTTGGTGTCTAGTTCTTTGTGTCATGGGTGCTAAGTGGAAGGCAGGGGACATAGTGAGGTTTTTGCCAGAATGAGCCCATGATTATGCATTTCTCTTGGCTGTTGTTTCTGATTGTGTAGCATCCGCCCTTGTGTCATGGGATATTCATAGACTTCCTAATTCCCTATAATAAATCCTTTTCTGTTTAAATGAGCCAGTGGATTCTATTATTTCCAAATAAGAAACTCTATAGCAGAAATCACTGAACTCTACGATAATTCTCAAGTATTCAAAAGCAAACCCTCTACCTTTCACTCCACTGTGGTTTTAATGATCATCCATATTTTATCTATGGTCCTAAAGGTGATATTTTCACAAATTATTTTCGTTTTCAAATAACTATAGTTGATAATTATGTCAGATAATAGTATAGTTACATTATATAAGAAACTGAAACAAAGAACTCGAATACCTTGGGGGGAAGCTGCCTTTGCTGGCCTGCAAGAGACACAACTGCATAGGCACAGGTGGGCAGAGGGACTGCTGTCCTTGCCAGTGCAGAAATTACACCGATACAGTCTTCTTTCTTCGGGAGGGGCTAATTCCTTTGTGGAGTCGTTAACTTCTGTTAATCTAATTACTTCTAGGGTGTGACTGGGTTGATTTGTAAGGACCATTCATTCATTTTCTACAATGGCACTCCATCTCCCCACCTCTGCCCTGCGCCTGCCTCATCCTACTTTCTGTAGCACCTGATATTTCCTATAACAGTTGGCGCCTAAGGGGCTTTAGTTTCTATAACTGGGTTAATAGTTTTCATTTCCACAGCTGGTTTAATGACTATGTTAATCACTTCTACCCCCACCACCAGCTTTTGGACTTATGTGACCCACGTTTCTGTCTTGTGATGCCTCCTTTCCCAATTTTCTATTCTTAACCTCTATCACTTCGATACACAGGCCTCCCAGAGGCCCCACCTGAAAATGTACCACACTGGTGATTTGTATCTTGGTATTGGCATTTGAGCGCTGTTGGTGCTCGTGATGTATATACATGGTTTCCTGAATAGACTTGCTCACACATTACAGCCACAACTAAACTGTAAACTTTCAAGAGTCATGAAGCCTGTGATCCTTCAAGAAGGTGAGTGTAGTCATTATCTGGAACCAACAGTAATTGTAGTAAAAGAAGATGGTGGGTGTAAGGGGCTCAGGTGTGCTGTGCCTGCTTTTGTTACAGGGAGCGAGAGGGGCACCCCAAACCCCGCAAACCTGCCTGCTCTAAATAGGTTCTGCCATCCTCTGTATCAACACAAAACATATGAGACTTTAATGGGAAGGAACTTTAATATAATTAGGAAACAATACAGGAAAGGCAAAGAATCTAGTTTCTAAATCAAGTACCCAAAGTTACCCATCCCCTCGTGGGTAAAAGTTCACCCAAGCAGTATTGGCCCAGAACAAAGCCCCAAAGCCTGCCCTAAGTCTAAAGCATCTTTTAGTGGGGACCCACAGAAAAGGATCAGAAACAACCAGACAAGTCTGGAAGGAAAAGAGCAAAATAAAAATCAAGACAAAAACCGCCATTGTCACCTCCCCACGGGTCTCTCACCCACATCTGTGTCACCCAACCCACAACAAAAAGGCCAGTGTAGTTTCTTCACGTATCTTTCAGATCCACATGCCTCCTCCAGGTTTCCTTCTGGCTCTCCATCCTGCTTCCTTCCCAGTCTCCTCTGCAGCTTCTTCTCTGCTCAGCAACACCCTCCTTTTCGGTGGGGCAAGAAATCTGGAACCTCCCCCTTTCCTGGGGACCACCCTGTTACACTTTCTCTATTGTACTGATACTAAGTGTAGGTCTGGGGGAGCAACATCAGCACAAACAGGGAACTTGTTAAAGATGCCAATTCATGGGTCTTGCTCCACACCTGCAGATTTACTTTTGTTTTATGAAGCCTGGAACACAAAATAATTTCTATACGCATTAAAAGTTGAAACACCAACTTACATGAGTGATCTCAGTCCTGACTTACAATAAAGAGCAGATAGTGAGTTTTAAGAATGACCATCACTTATGCCCTCCCTCGCCAATCTGTTTTGGTCTGCGTAGGAGCAAATGTCATTCAGTGTTACAAGTGGAGATTTTAAGTGAGTATGGGTTAAGCCCTTCATATCTTTCCATCCACTTTAACTCACTGTGCCCATTGTGTTCCCCAGCCTCTCTCTTACCCTGCGCCACTTTCCCCTCTGGTTGAAGCACTAAATTAACCTGGGATTCCATTCACAGCCAGGCATCCCCCTTCCATCCCTATGATTTTTTAAAAAAAGATTTATTTATTTATGCATACAAGAACTGGGGTGTAAGCCAGAGGTGTGAGGGGTGAGAGGATTCACCAGAGACAGATTTGGGAGCAGAACAGGCAGAGTGAATGAAATACACTGCTGAGGGGAGCTGAGGGCAAGACAGGAGAGGTCTGCTGAACCATGTGGGTAGCTCCCTGGCCGGCTGGGATCGAACTTGTGCTGCAGTGGCTGCGGACAGCTTCACAATGCTGTGCTCAACCCCTTACGCCACCTGGGAGGACCCCTAATGATTCTTCATCCTTACAGATGTTAAAATTGCTGGGCCTTGTAACCAAACTTGCCTGAGAGTTGAGCTGCTACATATACATGATGTCAAGGCCGCCTTTCTGATGGGATTATTGGGAGAGACTACTTTTATTTGCAAACACTTAGTGAAGTTGAGTTTAATGTAAGTGTATTTTCCTGGGCCAGCTTCCTTCTCTAGATCAGCTCCATGGGGGAGCAACACACTGGAGCAGCACTTGGGACAGTTGAGGGTATGACATTTTGCACAGCTAAATAGGTATTTCCATAGAGCTATTTTGACACATAAAAGCCAATCCATAAAACTTTCATGTTTTTGTTCTTTTTTTTCCAAAAGGTCACGTAAAATGTTAGATATAATTCTTCACTCAGCTCTGCTGCCTTGCTCAGAGGCATGACCAGGGTGGCAGAGGCAGGCTGGGCCTGGCTGGACCTGGCACCCCCTCCTGCCCTGGAGAAGCAGATGCCTCTCCAGGATCTTCCTGTGGGAGACTGTGTCTCACATGGCACCCTCTGCTGCCTTTTCATCTAAATGAACAACCAACACACAAATAAGTTACAGCAAAAAATCATGGAAAGGCAGCCCTTTGGAAGAAAGTGCTCAGAGGAAGAAGTCACAAGGAGCTGTATATTCTGAGGCCTCATGCAGATTTAATTACCGCAGTTTGGCCTCCACTTAAAAGCAGCATTTAGAGTGATCTGAGAAACTACCATGAGACGGGTGACAGTGTTCTTTGGTGATGGAGACGTGGGTGTGGACACCATGGACGCGTGGAGCATGGGGCCTTCGGGGGACTGATTTTCTGACTTCTTCACCATGAGAAATGTCACTAGGACTGACCCCCGTATCCCAGAATTCTTGGGTTTATTATGGAGAAATGTATTGCCATCTGTGGGCTTGTCATTAAAATCTGAATGGTAAATAAGCTTAGTACTTTAAACAAGTGAAAAACAATAATTACAACATTTGTAGTAATTGTAACTAATATTTATTGAGTGTTACTATGTGCTAGGCACCATGCTAAAGTACTTTACATACATTATCTCTTTTAATCCACGTAAGAGCTCTGAGGGAAAAGAATGATTACCTCCATTTAAGAGACGAAGAATCTGGAGCTGAGTGAGGTTAAGGTTCCTGGCTGTGGTCACCCAATTTGTCAGGAAGAACCCAGATCCCTCTGACTCCAGAGCCTGGATGCTCAGCAGTATGGCACTCAAGCCTTTTAACCACCCTGGGACATGCTCTGCTGGCGGCAATGTAGTTATGGCACTTGGGGGTGAAGCGCTGGGTGACTGTCCTGTGAGAGCTCTCTTGGAACCACATATTCTTACCCCAACAACTAGCAGGGGGCCATGGACTGAGAGCTTATTCTTGTGAAGTCAAGGACAGGTGTAGATCTGGCTACCAGAAGCCTTGCAGTCAGGGGTGGGGGAGCCTCTGGACCACTGGGGTTCACAGAGGGCTTAGATCATGGATGGAGGGTGGGGGGCAGGGAGAATGGAGCTCAATAATACTGCCTCATATAAACCAGACCGTGACATTTTTTTGCAGTTTATATTGTCCATGGATTATTATAACAGAAACATTTTTAAAAGGATAAAGCTACATACAGCAATATTAATTAAAGATACAGCTCATTGGATTCGTGTAGTCCCGCCCCAACAATTTGAGGTGATTCTTGTGATCCTGCAATCTAAACACGGCATCACTATCACATTCTGGACAACAGCAGGTGCTCTGATACAGAAGGGATGCTAATCTAGATGTCACATGATAGCAGCAGCAAGTAAGAAACCAAATATCTATGGTCTTCATAAATAGGAGGGGACACACAGCCTTAAGATCTTGAACATTCATTCTGTTGTCAAGGTGTTGGGCAGCATTGGTGACAGTCTATCTTTTGGTGTCTCAACTTAAGTGGGGAGCAGACCTGGCATCCTGCCCCTCTGCACATGTTTGTTTCTGGGCCAGGCTGTCCACAGCTTCAGGGCAGGTATTTCAATATGAAACAGGGAGGGGCTAGGCAGGCAGCCTAAAGCCTTGGTTTCATCTCTGGGCCGTTGGGTGGGAAACGCAGAGGAAGAGAACAGAGGAAGAAACATAAACAGCAAATCTGTCTATGGTGTTTTCACCTCCCTTACAAACCTGACCACAGAAGCACAAGGCTCTTCTTTTTATTTTAAACTTTAAAGGGAACATTAGTCAACTCACTGTCATTTAAAGCAGTGCAACTATGCTTAGGTCGTTTGGCTGTCTATCATCGCTCCTTCCCCTGAGGAAAGGAGTCTGGCGCAATTCTTCACTCTGGTTGGAGAGGGTGATACCAGGAAACTTCTTGGATTCTTCTGGATTCGCCTTTGTCTAGATTACGAATGCAGTATGTTTTCTGTGACAGTGCTGCCTCCGCCGCTGATGACAAAGCTCTGTGAACTGGACACGACTAGTGCCGGGGACATATCGTCAGTGTCCTTCATCTCTGGTTGACAGTCCCCACCTACAGGTCCTGGGAGGCCTGGCTCCTGGGGGCTTGGTTCTGAGTCTACCTCCCCACACTGCAGTGGGAGCAACGCCTGGTGTTTGGTCAAGGTATCGTTGCTTTTCTGGGCCTCTAGGGAGTTCTGGTGTGTGGAATTCCCGTGAGCCATGGCGCTCTTCTGAGGCTCATCAAAGCTCAGCGAGAAGGTGACTGTGCCACTGCCGAAGATGACCTTCTGCTTGCATCTGGGCTGCTCCTGCTGCTGGAGGGTCAAGGGCTGCTGTGGCTGCGGCTCTTGCTGGGTCAGGGCGAGAGGCTGCTGCTGTTTCTGCCTCTCGGGCGGTGGGAAGGGGTCTTCGCTGTTGCTCTTGCTGCTGATGGAGGAGGAGGGTGTGGATCCCGTGGAGCCCCCCAGGCTGCTGGACCGCTTGCGGGAGACGTTGCTGCGGCGCAGTGTGGCCCGGGCTGCCACCTTGAAAGCGTGAGCAGCGGTGCTGCAGCGCACCTCCTCGATGGTGTTACGGGATGGCTTGAAGAGAATGATGTAGACCTTGTTGAAGAAGATGCAGGCCAACAAGCCAAAGCTGGCTGCCAGGATGGCGATCACCTCCACAGCAGAGACAAACTTGCCATAGGTGCTGGCGTAGGCAGGAATGAAGGAGATCCAGACGATGAAGAAGATAAGCATGCTAAAGGTGATGAACTTGGCTTCGTTGAAGTTCTCTGGCAGCTTCCGGGACTTGAAGGCAAAAAAGAAGCAGATGGCAGCCAGCAGGCAGGTGTAGCCAATCAGGAAGCCCAGGGCCATGAGGGAGCCCTCGTGGCATGTGATGAAGATGATCTCGTCCTCCAGCTCATGGTTGCGGTAGCTGGAAGGGGGCGCAGTGTAGAGCCAGATCACACAGATGACGATCTGCATGAAAGTGCAGAGGAAGACCAGCAGGAACTGCAGGTTGAGCCCCCACCACTTGCGGTGGAAGCTGGTGGGGATCTTGGCCTCAAACACCAGGAGAACACGGTTGGTTTTCACCAGGATGCATGAGATGCAGAGCACAAAGCTGATGCCAAAGGCTGGCTGGCGCAGGCGGCATGTCCAGTCTTGAGGCTCACCGATGAAGAACAGGGAGCTGGAGAAACAGCAGAGCAGGGAGAAGAGGAGGAGGTAGGAGAGCTCCCGGTTGGTGGCCTTGACGATGGGCGTGTTGCGGAACTTGATGAAAACACCCAGCACGAAGGCTGTCAGGAAAATGCCCAGCACTGCAAAGAGGGTGAGTGCAATGCCAAAGGGCTCTGTCCACGATAGAAACTCAATCTCCTTGGCGATGCAAGAAGTGTGGTTCTCATTGGACCAGAAGTCACTAGGGCACTTGTCACAGGCACTTGCATCTATAAAATGTCCCAGTGAAGAATTAGTTACTGTGTGGCCTAGACTAACCTCTGTTAGTGACGATGTGGTGGATGAGTGTACACAGGCTGTTGGATGCAGTCACCTTAAATTTCTTTATTGATGAAATAATTATGATTTCTTTACATTATCAAATAATATATTAAGGCCTGACTTATGTTTATTAACATACTTAGTTAATTTTATTTTTGCCCTTTGTCCAAGAGGTGAGGGCAGAGAGCTAGCAGGTTTCTTTTAGTACTACCTGCATATGATCAGTTTTGCTGGAAAGGAGGCTGTCTGAATACCAAAGATCTGGCATAGTCCATGCACTTTCATAGTGATTCAGGCCCAGTTTGGGTTATTCTGGATATAGGGATGGAATTTGTGGACATGCCAGAGCAGACGTCCTTTTAATCAAGGGAATGCATCCTCCACAGATGACCTGTGCCAACCTCATTCCACATCCGTGGTTTTCCAGTGAGGAAGGCTTCAGACTCAGTCAATGAACACTTATTAAGTCTGCTATGTCCCAGAGAGCGTGCGTGCCTGGGTGTGAAAGAGGCATGGTTTTGTGGTCCGAGATCTGGATGGGAATACTGTGACTTTGGTCAAGCTCCTTAAACTCTCTGAGCCCCAGTTTCCTCAGGTGTGAAATGGAAGCAATCATAACCCCATCATTGTGATGAGAATGATATAATGATAGTAATAATAACTATAGGTAATTTCTATGGAACGCTTCTAATATGGCAGTTGAGGTTTTTATTTAATAAATATTTGTCTAGAATTTACTATATGCTTCACTAATACTAACTAATTTAATCCCCAAACTCTATAAGATAGAGTCATTATTATTCCTACTTTATAGAAGAAGAAATTGAGGCATAGGAATAAACATAAGATAGCAAGTGACGTGCCCACCACCCAGCAGGCAATCACAGCCTAGTAACTCTGGAGGCTGGAATAGACAGAACCTTGCTTACACAGAGCCACCGAGCTATAAGAAAAGGAAATCAATATGGAGAGCATCATGACAGTGAAAGAAAGATGTGGAACAGATGTGTTTATAAGCTCTTATACAAAAGGACTATTCCTTTTTTTTTTTTTAAAGATTTATTTATTTGTGCATACAAGAGCTGGGCTGCAGGCCAGAGGTGTGTGGGGGGATGTGTGTGAGAGGATTCACCAGAGACAGAGTGGGGAGCAGAACAGGCAAAGTGACTGAAGTACACTGCTGAGGGGAGCAGTGGGCCAGTCAGGAGAGGTCTGCTGCTCCGTGTGGGTTGCTCTCTGGCCGGCCAGGAAACGAACTCGTGCTGCAGAGGCTGCAGACAGCTTCATAGGTTGAATCTTAACCCCTTGCACTACCAGAGAGGCCCTTTTTGATCCCCTATCTGTGCCAGCCCAGCATGATCCGTGGGCATGGCCTGTCAAATGAACATCAACTCAGTCCCGTCCTTCTAGGGACTTCACTGACCCCATGACCCCAAAGTGGAACAATCCCTGAAAGGATTCATGGGCTGTTCCTTTACCTGTCTCATCACTGTACTCCCCATCTGGACACGCTACACATTCAAAGCAGCAGGTGGGCTCCCCCTCAATGATTCCTTTCCTGGTCCCTGCCAGGCAGTCTCTGCTGCAGTTGGAGAAAGGCACCTGAAGGACAGAGAGTACACAAGTGAGTGTTTGCAGTTTTGGGGTGAGTCTTACAGTTCTTTTGACACATATGGCAGGGATTTGTTGGGCACAAGGACCAGGATGGGAGATTTGAGTTCCTTCCAGGCAGTTCTTACTTTTGTTGTTTATGAAGGAAGGGGAATGCCTATGGGCAAGTGCATGCACGTGCATGTGTGCACGTGCGCGCACACACACATACATTCACACTCACACTCCTCACTCACATCCATGAGATGCTAGGAAGATTACTTGTTGGGAATCTACAGAATGACCCAAATTCTCTTTAAATACTCTCTCCTTTTATGCCTTTCAGGTCCCAGAATGAGACACCCAGTCACTCTCCATGGAAGTAAAAGCCCGAGATAAACAGAGATAACGGGACATGAACCTACACACTGGGGGACTGTCACAAAGGAAGATGCTGAGATGAGGGAAATTTGACCTGAGTTGAAGGGGGTGAGGTTTCCACACTTCCAAACCACTCATTGGTTAAAATGCATCTCCTGGGAATGTAAGCTCTTAGACTCTTCTGCCTCCCTGAACCTGTGAGCCAAGTGGGCTCCACTGACCTGCAGGCATCTTTTGTGAAAAAGAAAGCAGCAAATTCTGGTTATTGGAAGCAAAAATATACATAAGTCCTGGAGACACATGTAGAATGTTAGGGATCTGAAGGGATCTGGGAAGAGTATAACTACTTCCCACCATTTGAAAATAGATGAAAACCATTAAAACATCAAACAAACAAAACACACAAAAAAGAAAATATACCATGATCATGTTAGATTTATGCCAGGGATGCAAACACATTTAAAACTAGAACATGTGACTGTATTAGTAAATTTACAGAGAAAAATCATATGATAATCAATAGATAAAGAAAAAGCATTTGGTGAAATTCCATACAAAGTAGTTACAGGAGATGTGGTAGAAAAGAGTGGGAAGAAATCTCTTCAAATCATGAGAAAGGGTAACAAAAATTTTCTAAACATATTCTATAGAGAAAATTTTGAAGTATTTCCTTTGAAAAATGCAGATGTCCATTATCACTATTATTAAATACTGCAGTGGAGTGCCTCAGTGATGGAATAAAACAAGAAAAATAAGGAATATTGAACATAAGTAAATTACACATTATATTTTCAGTCTATATGACTGTCCACATAGAAAAAGTTTAAAGAATCAAGAACCAAATTATTAGAAATAACTGGAGGTCAACCTCAGGTTAAAAATGTCATGGCTGCTGCTGTTCCTTTGTCTTTTTTTTTTTTTTTTCCAAATTTAGTAATAATGAGATTTCATTTTTTGTTATGCCCAAGTTTTGATGAACGAAGTTTTTTGCTGTTACAGTGAAATGAAATATAGTAATAGAACATGAAGGTCAAACAGGTAACCTGCATAACAGAAAGCAGAAGTTGCCAAACAAATGTAGTTTCTCATCAAGTGGGGCAAGTAAACTTTGCCATACTTTTGATAAGCTACAGTGTCATTGTCAATTTTACTGAAATTCTCTAAATCTTGGCATTAACAGAAATATATATATTATATATAATATATATATATATATATACACACACACACACACACACTACATAATTCAACAGTGGGGAATAGGTGATAAGAATAGTTGATCACTTAGAACCTAGCTAGTTGAAATGTGATCATTTAGAAAAAGGTATAATTAGTGGGCAGAAGAATACACTTGCTGGTATCCCCAAATCTTTGGAAAATGTCTTGGTGTTTATATTTGAGATTTTACCCTCTGAGGCAGAAGCTAATGAAGACTTACTGGAACAAGTAAGTCCTGTGTGGGTGAGTTTCACTATCTATAGACTCACTCACTTGGGTAATCTCTCCTATATGTTGAGAAACAATGAAATTGTAGCATCTTATCAGAAACCCATCAACCTAAAAAGTATTTGGTAAAAAAATGAAATTGAGTTTAGACATGTTATAAAAGAATGGTCTAAGATTAGCAGCTCCAAAGAAATCATTTAAGGTAAAAGCAAAGCAAAATGTAATCAGTCTCATGCAGTCTTTTTGGGACAGTTAAAAAAAGAGGCCTTTTTCAGGGACCATTCCTACAGAAAGTCTGACTACCAGGCAGCCTACTGCATTCTAAGACACAGCCATTACAGAACGGCCATTGATTCAGCATAGTGTGTCTTTTCCCGAAGTGCAAATTCATGAGGTGATGGGTTTCTCATTGTTAATCAGGCATCTAGCTGCAGTGATATTCAGGGAAGGGGGTTCCTGATCATGGTCATAAGCATCATCCGATTTTTTTTTAAAGATTTTATTTTTGCATAGAAGAACTGGGGTGTAGGCCAGAAGTGCAGGTAGAAAGAGGATTCACCATACAGAGCGGGGAGCCGAGCAGGCAGATTTACTGAAATACACTGCTAAGGGGAGCAGCAGGCAAGACAGGAAAAGTTTGCTGCACCATATGTGGGTTAGCTCCCTGGACAGGGATCGGACTCAATTGGTGGAGGTGACAGTGCTGAGACTTAAGCTCCTAGGCCACCAGGGAGGCCCCATCATCCTATTTGTTACAGATCTCCCATAGTAGGAAAATAAATTGTCCTTTGATATACAATGTAGCCCTACGCCTTTTGGATGATAGGGAATGACCTCATGTGAATTATCAAGGCCCTCCCTCGAGTAATGTTTATGTTTTCTTAAATAATTTGCTGTTGTTGGAAAAAGTTTTAGCCAAGGAAACTGTTACTAACCAGAGAATCATATTTGTAAAGAGTAAAACAGTTTTAGTCTTGGGGCTCAGATTCCAAGGAATCTGTACACTAAACACTCATGGATTCCACAAGGAGCCCTGGAAATGTGGAGTTAATGTGTTGCAGGAAATGGACTTATCATTTTGGAAGTCCAGTCGTGAAACTCAAAGCCCTCCCAAAGGCCCAGCAGTTTCCTGTGCACAGTGGTGGCATTGGCGTTCTCATGGACAGCACATACCTCCCTGGAGAACCCACTCCACAAGATTTTCTCCTCATTGATGAAGAGCCTTTCTCCCTTCTTTGCATAAACGTTGTAATATCCGACCTCCTTAAACACAATGGAACCATCCTCGGGGGAGAGGTGCCAGTTGATGATGGAGTAGTTCCCCATCAGGTCACCACACTCATCGAAAGTCACTTGTTCTCCCATGTTGTTGGTAAAGTTTAGGTGCCGAAGGTGCTTCAGGACCTAAAGAGGAGCAAAGTGGATGTTCTGAGGATAAGCCACAAGGCTGCCAAGTATAGTTACACAGGTTGTGTACTGCACAAGGACAATAAACAATCTTGTTCTAAAAAAGTGGAAGGAACATGACTTAAAGAAGAGGTGTCTTTTTCTAATTAACTAAGGATTTGCCTGTGTAAGTAGCAACCCTGGTAAACCATGGACTTTACTTACCTTGGCCATTGGCCAAATTAAGGCTTCTGCGGGTGCACCATCACCTGGTTATGCCTTAGGATGGGTGGGGTTTGTAAGCCAGAGTCCATTCCTGGCATCTTCTGAGATGAGCTTTGGGGAAGGGCTGAAGGTGCTAAGTACTCTATGACCTGCACTGTCCTTCCCTATGGTACTGCTTCTGTGGAAGTGTCTTGCTGCCCGAAATCACAAAGAAGGGAATGGAAGGAAGAAAGAGATGAGGCTATGGGTAGAGCCCTGACAATCACTATTGCAATGGTCATGACTCATTCCTTAATTTTTACATGGTTTTTATGAGTCACAACACCCTTGTATGAAACAAATAATGATAATCATCGCTAAATTTTACTACTAGTCATTTTACTCACTTTGAGGCACAATGCAAATATTCACCACCTAATCTAATCCTCACAACAAATAGTACTATTACCCCATTTTATTGCTGGGGAAACTGAGGCATAGAAAATGGAAGCCTTGCCTAGGTTCACACAGCTAACAAGTGGTGCAAAACTTGTGTTCACAGCTGTTCTCTAAGGCAGTATCCACTGGCTCCTGGCTCTCCATGCCAGCCACTCACAGGGGTCAAGAGGAGGCTGTGGGCACTTAGCAGGTTGTATTTTATATGGGACCTGTTAGGATCAAGGGGTCATGGAGGCGCAGAGAGAGAGAGAGAGACAGAGACATGGTCGACCTTGTGATTGTGGGGGCGTTTGCACTGCACCTCCTGAGTTACCAAGGCTCAGCACTCTGGCTCTCAGCAGAGCGCAATGGGCCAGAGAGGCTATAGGCTATAGAAGCTCTAGTACTTTTAGAGATTCTAGAATGTCTCTCTGTTTTGTGGTTTGGAAGCCCCAGGAGTACATATAGAGGCATCCTCTTCCTCTTGTCAGATTCATTATATTTAAGGTACCTAAAAATCTGACATCTAATTTGACCCTGGGGGAAAGCTTTCGTGGAGTCCAGCTGCTGGGTGGCCTCCCTGGGCCTCTCTGAGGCTCAGCCCCAGCTCCTATTATCCACACTGATCTAATGCCCATGACAAACTGACTGAGCTAAAACTCCAAGGGCACTTTTCATGCTCCACTTGACTCTGGAGTTGCCACTGCTTTTTGGCAATTTGCATCTATATTGATTTTATTTTTAAATAAACATTTATATAAGGAAAATTACTTAATGAGGAGTCACCTGAATTTGCCCATGAACACCTCTGGAATGAGATGGGGGAGGAGTCTGTGGCAGACAAAACATGGGTGCCTCACACTGTTGCATTGGGCAACACTACACTGACAAAGTAACGGGAGTTGGGGAGCAGGCCACATAATGCAGGATGCTGCCGAAGAGCAAGATCCTGGCCTTTTTATTGATAAAAGAATTATACAGCATCAGTTGAAAGGAAGGAGGACATAGAGAAAAGGGAGGGGTGAAACTAGAAAAGGTGCTCTGTCATCTATAGTATCAGGGGTCATGAGTCTGTCCTCCCTGCGGCACTTGTCAGCTGCTTGATGACTTGGTATTGTAATTGAGATCAAGTGCTATTTCCCCAGCCATGGTTTCAATCTTATCAACAAGGCTTTCCACTAATCAGCTTCTGGGGTTCCTTGTATACATCAGACCTTGGCCCCCCTGGGCGTTCATACCCCTTGATGCATAGCCTTCCCAGCGTAATCCAACTTTGTGCTCTTGATTGATTCGAAAGCACCTTGCAGGGTTGGGCTCCTGTACCTAACTGACTGGGCCCTTCTGACATTGCTTAGGATTTAGAACATAGGTAACAAAATGGTGGCCAAACTGGCCACTTAGGATTAGCAGACCCACATCACATCACTGTGTAGAGTTTATTCTTTCAGTGTCCTCACTGCTACCCTGGCTGCCCTGGCTTTTGTTCCAGCCTACAAAGGACTAGGGTTCCTCAGTTCCTGTTACCAGGTTCTTCTGTTTTGCAACCAGAGTTGCCAAAGCATCCTCAAAAAGGGTGGCGAATGCATCCTACTGGGCTGGCTGTGTTCTTCAGATCTTCCTTGATAGTCATCAATATCATATTTTTTCCTTAATTTTTACTGAATCCTTGGGTTCACTTGGCTTCCTCCTGTTTTGTTCACCTCTTTTCTCTGCCCCAACACATCCCTGTCTTGTCATATCCGTTTTTCCCTTAGAGAAGTGCACAGCCTTTGTGCTCTATGAGACAGACCCTCTCTTGTAGCACTTAGTACCTCACTTCTCCCACCTACTCTGGGACCTGTTTGCACAACCAATGGTGCTTCTCCCTGCCAAAGTCATACCCTCCCACTTCCTGCTGGGGACCTACCATGGTTCAAACGACATAAGCTTCAAATTTCTCTAGGTATCTTCCAAAGACTCCCATATTTGGGGTCCACATACCTACCATTACTTGTCAGTGCAATTATTTTTTTAAATCATTATTCCACTATCCTTTCCACAATTATGCTAACTCTGTTTTTTCTCTGATATGTGTAAAATGACATGAGAAGAGTGGCAAGGAGAAGTGATACATCTTATTTGCAATTCCTGTGTGCCAGTCACTATACGAATGCTTTACTACACTATTCCATTCAGTTCTCACAGCTCTGTGGATAGGAACTATTATCATCTTCATTTTGTAGTTGAAGAAACAAAGGCATAGTGATGTCAAGAAACTTACCACCATCACAGAACTATTAAGTGCTGGCTGGAGTTGTGATGTAAGCCTGGTGTCTCTGTGACACCGTTAGCTTCCAATATAAATTGTTTAGAGTGCCCATGGCAAGTGCTTGTCAAAGGTCAGTAATTTTCCCTCTCTCGCTGTCTTGGCATACACACACACACACACACACACACACACACACACATTTAAAGTTTTCTTCAAATAAAAGTGAATTTATACAAGCATCACTTTTATTTGTGGGCATATGTACAGTAAAAAGCATATACAGTAGAATTTGAGTATTAGCATAAAATTCCTTCCTCCTTAGTTCTTTGTTTCTTAAGGTATCTAGTAACACAGGTATCTCTCCACAGGTTCTCTGCAATGAAACTTTCCAGGCACAATGGGTGTATAGGGAGGGGACCTGAAATTAGATATTTTCATAATTTTCCATAGTGATCAGACTAAAAAGATAGGTATCTTAAAGATCATCACTGACTATAAATATTATGCCTTGCTATTGGCATGGACTGGAGATTTCCCCATAATCCTGCTATGAAAGAAGGAACTGTACCTTATTTATTTATTTTTTTCTGATTTGAAAAGAAACCCTCTAGAAAAGCAAACAGGCAAACAAGTGAGCAGGGAAATATTAGCAGAATGTTTTGAAATGTGCTAAAAGATTTTATTTAAGAGTGGTATGGTAGACATATCAGAAGAATTGTTGTTTTCATAAGGTAGAATGTCAATTTTCTCTTCATAAAGGAAAAAAGAGGAGCTTTGGATTTTTCTGGGAAAAGAATTCCTTTGTTATATGGGGTTTTTTTTTTTTTTTTTTTTTTTTAGAAAGGTCAGCTAAATATATTTTGCATGTCACAGTTTTGGTTATAGGCATACATTTAATTCTCAGTAAATATTCAAAACATGGAATGAACTGATGATAATACTTCCTCTAATTTGTTGAGGAAAAGAGAAGTTGGACTCACCATAGTAAAATAATGTTGGAGTAATGGCTAAGAATTGCCTAAGAGAAGGGTGTTTCCAAAAAACAACTGTTCTATGTAAGAATGATGACAGGAATACTCCAGAAAATGAAGGGAGCAATCAGCACCTAAAATCTAGAACTGAAGTCTCTTAACATAGAGAGAAAACAAAATTATTCAATTAGCTATAATAAATTAATTCAAACCAGTTACAGGAAAAACCAGCCCTAAATTTCTAAATGAAAAAGGCCAAAATAGATTTAAAACATTTTCTTTTCTGTTTATAGGTGTGTTTATAAGGAAAAATTAAGTCAACAAATTGTTCCTGATAAAGATTCAATGTAAAAATTAAGCATATTTTCAAATAATTATAAAATTAAATTAAGTTTAATCTAAGGGTTTCTCTCAAACTGAATTGGGAAAAAGACAAATCTTGCAAGTTGACCATATAGCTGAGGCATATAGCAGGGGAGGGGGAGGGAGAGGAGCCAAAACAGGGGAGGGAAGAGCACAAGAGTTTATGGTGATGGATCATCGGGGCGATGATGGAGGGAAAATTATGGGGACTACACCTGAAGGGAGAAATCAAATATTTTCAAAAATTAACAATGATTTAAGAAAATAATAGGAATTTTTTTTGCATTTTTTAATTTTATATATATAATTCTTACATCATTTTTCATTTTTGCACAATGTATGCATTTTCATTTTGGTTATTTTTTAAAAATTAATGGTTTTCAGTCTCTATGTCTATCTCAATAGACTTGCTTATACTCTTTACATTCTTACCAGTGATATTTCTCTCTTTCATTTACTTCATTGGTAGTGAAGAGGTAAGTTTCAGTCTATATTCATGAAGCCAGAAGTACTGGGGTTTTATCGCATGGGAGTTTTCTCAGAGAAGCACGCTCACCTCCTTTATCTATGCCTGTATCCATGTACTATCCATGTAAGCCATCTTCTCAGTATTTACCTCTGCCTCTTTCTCTTCCTTTAGTTATGTGTTCATTCAACAAGCATTTATTAAACAATCAATATGGCCCTAGCAGGCACTTTTATTAGGGACAAGAGATACAAAAGTATTCAAGATGGACACAGAGAGATGTTCAATATAATCTAACTCGGTCAGTTGTGCCCATTGTCACCTACTGCTTTCTCTTTGTGTCTGTGTATGATCAGAGTTTTGGGACCATCAGTGACCTCTAATGAACATCCAGAGTTTTAGGCTATGAACCGGGGTCTTCACTCTGAAAGCACTGGCTGACCTGACCACCTCTGGGGAGCTAGAAAGCTTATGTCCAGAGCGACAAACTGGATACCTGATCCCTTTACCAGTTACCTTGGCTCCATCAAGGAACAGATAACCTCTGGCAGAGGTAGGCTTTCTTACTCGCTAAATATATGAACATAGACAAATCATTATTTGCTTCTCTGGATCTTACTTTCCTCACCAAAGAAAGAATAATACTCAGGACTAACATTTACTGAATATGTGTTATGTATATCATAAACACCATACATAGTAATTACTAGCATCTTCATAATTGACTTATAAGTTTCATTATCTCCATTTTTCAGGTGAGGAAAGTGAGGCCCGGGCACATTAAATGACCACACAAGGCCTTCAAGCTGTTAGGCATCAACTGGGATTTAAATCCAGCTGGTCTGGCTCTAGAGTTCAAACTCTGTCATTTCACTATATACCATGGACCCTGATGCAGAAGTATGATCAGATAGTCTCTCTCTAGTTACAACAGGGTAAATATTATAAAATTTAGGTTGAGAAGATGGACATAACTTGCAGATGAGACAGTGGGTAGATGAATAATACTTATAGCAACACAAGAGGTTGTGATTAGAAAAGTGGTCCGAATCAAATAGCATCCTGATCTCCATGCATGCATGGCCTGTACTGTTCCACAGGGACTTTGCCAATGCTTTCTAATTTAGTCAGTTTTATTGCAGTATAGTTTACATAGGATAAAATGTACCCATTTTAAGAGTATAGTTCTGAACTTTGGCAAATGTGTATGCTTGTGTAAATACCACTACCATCACCCCAATGGATTCTGTGATGTTCCTTCTGAACCAATGCCCACCCCACTTGCAGCCCTAGGCACCACTGATCTATTTTCTTTTTATCATTAGAGACAAAACTTATATGAATAAGTCATACCGTATGTACTTTTTGTGTGTGTAGGATGTTTTTGTGATTCATTTATGTTGTATATGTTGCCTTCACATTTGACACTTCCTGCAAGGAATCACACACACCTAGATGGTCACATATTATCTTGTACGTGGTAATATTTCCATCTAGTGGCTTCTTATGGTATTTCCTCTAAAGGGTTTTAAAGTTAAAATTGTTACTCATTGTAAGCATACATGGGAATCACCTCTTGGCTTATACTCAATTGAATTAAGTCAAAGACTAGAGCTCAGAAAGAAATTCCACTGGAGCCCAGAATTCTCCACTCTTACACATGGCATCACTTCACAGCACCCCATTCACACTGATAAAGTTCCCCACAGATGAGGACTGTATTGCTTTTTGTGCTGTATCACTTAATGTGCTATGAGTGTAGGGAAGACACAGGACAAATTCCCTTTTCTAACCTCACTAATTTTTTCTTCTCTCTCTTCCATCTGTTCTGGCTCTTATCCCAATAATCAGAAAGTGTGTGTGGGAGTATGATTTGAAAAGACTTCAAGGACAAAGTAAATTTTGAAAGTGATTTAAAAGTTTGTGGTGGATAATGACAAAGGAGACAAAAACTGATAACCTTTCTAGTGCAGGATACTATCTAAGAAAATATGCTATGCCAAAAGCTAGTAAGTGATTGGTGGGGTGGTGCCAGGCAGATTGGCTTACAAGAGAATAATTGAGAGAAGGTAGAGTGAAAATCCAGGCTAAAATGCGTGGATTAGATTGTATAGGTGATAGGTTTCCATGTAGATCTTGAGTGAATTATTGACAGCTCATTTCTTGATCAATAGAGACATGATCAATATCTTAATTCCAGAATGCCCACTCAACTGTCTGGCTTTCTGAGGCTCTCATGAGATTTACAGCAAGTACACAGGACATTCTGGGAAATGTCCATATGTTATTCCTCACTAGAGCTCTGGCTCCCTGTTCTTTCTGTTTCCTCTCCTGGATGGACAGTGCGGGACAGTGCCATATGTGAGCCAGGAGGACATATCTTTACTTGTATTAGGGTCAGCTGAAGGGTCCATGTAGTAGATACTTTTTATTTTGGCCTCTTTTCTTCTCTTTCTTTTTTAAATTTTTTTTTTCATTGAGGTAACTGGTTTGAACACTAAATGTCATTTGGAGGTATGGGTTCATGTCTCTTCTAATGTATGTTACCACATCCACCGCCAAAGCAGATTGATATGCTTCTGTTTTGTTTTTAATTTTGGGCAATTCTCAAATGGTATCTCAAAGATACCACTCTCAAGGAGATGGTATCTCATTGTGGTTTTGATTTGCATTTCCCTGGTGATAAGTGATGATGAGAATTTATTTTTGTGCCTATGAATTTCTATGTATGTCTTCTTTGGAGAAATGTCTAGCTTTCCTGTCCATTTTTTAAAAAACATTTATTTATTTATGCATACAAGAACTGGAATGTAAGCCAGAGGTGTGTGTGGGGGGGTGAAAGGGTTCACCAGAGATAGTGGGGAGCAGAACAGGCAGATCTACTGACATACACTGCTAAGGGGAGCAGTGGGCGAGACAGGAGAGGTCTGTTGCGCCACGTGGGTTGCTCTCTGGCTGGCTGGGGATAGAACTCGTGCTGCAGTGGCTGGCAACAGCTTGATATTGCTGTCTTTAGCTCCTGAGCCACCAGGGAGGCCTGCTTTTCTGTCCATTTTTAATTGGGTTGTTTTCTTTTAGTGGAGTTATATGAGTTCCTTGTAATCTTGGCTATTAGTCCCTAGTCAGATGTCTGATGTGCAAATATATTCTGTCATTCAGTAAGGCTTCTTTTTATTTTAATGGTAATTTCTTTTGCTGTGCAGATGTTTTTTAGCTTGATAAAGTCCAATTTGTTTAATTTTGGCTTTGTTTCTCATGCTGCAGGAGTGGAGGGAACTAAGATATCTCTGAAGCCAAAGTTGTGCAGTTTTGCCTATGTTTTCTTCTATGTACTTTATAGTTTCAAATCTTACTTTTAAGTCTTCAATTCATTTTGAGTTAGGTTTTGTGTACAGATTAAGACAGTGATCCAGTTTCATTCTTTACATATGACTGCCAGTTTTCCCAACACCATTTGTAGAACAGACTTTCCTTTATCCATTTTATACTCTTGACTCCTTTGTCGTAAATTAACTGTCCATGTAAGTATGGGCTTATTTTTGGCCTCTCCATTCTATTCTGTTATACTACAGAATAGTATAACTTTGTAGTATAATTTTGTAGTATAATTTGTAGTATAATTATAGTATATACTATACTTTGTAGTATAATTTGAAGCTTAGGCATGTGATACCTCCATTCTTGTCAGGATTGTTTTTACTACCTAGGGTCTTCTGTGGTTCCATAGAAATTTTAATAATGTTTGCCCTATTTCTTTGAAGAATCCCATTAAAACATTGATAGGAATTACATTGAATCTGTATATTGCCACGAATTAGCATCAGTAAAATGCTAATTCAACTAATCCGTGAGCAGGGAATACCTTTCTATTTCTTTGTGTCATCTATTTTTTTAAAACAATATCTTATGGTTTTCATTTGGTCTACTTTGGTCTACTTTGTTAAGTTTATTCCTGGGTATTTAATTATTTTTTTGATGAGATTATAAATGTGCTTTCTTTATTTCTTTCACTTCTAGTTTGTTGTTCGTATATAAGAATGCAACTGATTTTTGTATATTGATTTTGTAGCCTGACACTTCACTAATTTATTGTTTCTAATAGTTTTTAATGGAGTCTTTCTATGTAAGTTATCATGTCATCTGCAAATAATGATAGTTAACTTCTTTTTCCATTTAGATTTTTTTTTTATATCTTCCTCTTTCCTAATAGCTCCAGCTAGGACTTCCAATACTATGTAGAACAGTAGTGGTGAATGTGGACATCCTTGTCTTGTTCCTGATCTGTGAGGAAAAGCTTTCAGTTTTTCACAATTGAGCATGATGTTATCTGTGGGTTTATCATATTTTCTTTTACCCACATTTTTGAGTGTTTTCATCATAAATGGATGTTGGATCTTGTCAGATGCTTTCTCTGATTCTCTTGATATGATCATGATTTTATCTTTCTTTTGGTGATGTGGTGAATGTGTCATGGTCTAGATCTCACTGCATTTAGATAATCAGGTTTTCCTTAAGCTTCATGGACTTGTACACTTCCTTCTGGTTTGGAGGTTTTACACTATTATTTCCTTGAATAAATTATCTGTTCTACCTTCTCTCTCTTTGTCTCTCTCCCCCTTCTGGGATACTCATGATCTTTATATTGCCTTACCTAATAGAGTGGACAATTCTCAAAGAGTTTCTTCATTTTTTTTTTTTCTTTGTAATTCTGTCTCTTTCAGTTGGTTCCTTTGTGTATAACTTTCCTCAAGCTTTTTGATGCCATCCTCAATTTGATCTATTCTGCTTCCAAAGTTTTCTCTAGAATTTTAAAATCTTATCTATTGAATTTTTTACATCCACATCTCTGTTGTTTTCTTAGTAAAAGCTTCCATTTCTATTTTCTATTCATTAATTTGATTTTTCATTTCATTATTTTTTTAAAATTTTTTGAACTCAGCTTTTCTGAGTTCTTTTCTTCTATTTGACTTCTCTTTCTGCATTTTCCTCCACATCTTTGATTTTTTTTATTATGGCAATTTGAACTCTATTAGATAAAAATCTTCCATGTCTTTGTGATTAGATTCTGGAGAGTTATTCTTTCCCTTGATGTCATATATTTGATGTCTCAGTGTGCCATATATTTTTTTGTTTGCCCATTTTGGTGCTTTAAATTTCCCTATCTTTTAAAAATATCTATAGCAGTAACTTACATCATTGAAATACTTTTACTTTTCCAGCTGGTGGCGCTGTGGTTTTGTTTTAGTATTTTGGCCTTTGTTGGCTTCCATATGTACTAAACCATTTTTGCAGTTGCTTAGTCACAGGGTGAGGCAGAAGCTTGGTGGTGACCATTCTCTGGTGTAAATGTCAGGAAGAGCGGTCTCTACTCCTAGCTTCAGGGATGGATATGTGACCTTATACTAGTCAACCAATATGGTTTCTGGAACTTTCTTAGAGATACTGGGAAGAAAGAAGACCCTTGCAGTGATGATTCTATGAACCTGAAGTTCTAATCTGAGTCTGAAAATGATTAAATTCAAAGAATAAGCAAGAAAAAGATGGAGATGAAATCATTGAGTTGTACCTGAAATATTTCTGAGATTTTCAGTACTATGAGTTACTAATAAGTGCCTTCTTTTACTTCAGCCAGTTTTGTTTGGGTTGTGTATAATATGTAAGTAGAAGTCTCAATCTTGGCGATAGCCTGATTCTTAGCTTCTTTCTCATATGCCCAAGCTTTGGTCTTTACCAGCTGGGTCTTATTTTCTTGTTTGAAAGAGAAGTCTTTGAAGAGCTGAACTGTAAAACTACCCACATGAAACCTCTTTTCTCTTCAAACCCAAGCTGGTCCTACAGACTTTTTAAGAGATTGGGGGTGGGGGGGTTCTCCTTCCATGGGACATGTAAGGAAAGGGAGGAAAGACAATAGTTTTTACTACTCAGAGATTGTCCCTTTTTCCCTCTTTCAACAATGATGTCAGAGAGATTCTGCCCCATCTCCATCCCTTCCCTGCCCCTCTCCCCCCACCCACACAAAAAGGGCTAAGAACTTGTAGGTCCTGGCTCATTCTACCAGTCTAAACAGTCACTCCTCATGTCTAAAAATGACTGACATAGGATATATATTCTTTGTTTCTTGTTATCTTTTCCCAAGGGTCAGTTGTGGTTGGGATCTTTGTATAAAGTGGTTTCAGTTGTTATTTTTTTGTCTAACAAACTAATTAGAGGCCTACTGAAATCTTGCTATTAATACTCACCATCTGTTTAGAGGTTGAAATATCTACAAATTGCTTTCACATGTATCATTTCATTTTGTAAACAAACAAAAAGAAACAGGTAGAAAGTAGGTTAGATATTAAGGCCATTTTACAGATGAATAGAATGTGACTGAGAGCAAAAGTTTGGTTAAGATAACGCAGCTAGTAAATCAGAGAACTACAGCTAAACTTGGAAGCTAGGTCATTCAACTCATTCCGGGAGCCCCCAGCACCCCCTTTGTCATGCATTCTATCTGATAAGTCAGTAGTCTGAAACTGAAGAGTGCAAAGCAAGGTCTGATTTAAATATTAAGGTATATATGCATGACATGAATAGTTATGTAGCATATAGTCAGATCATACTTTTATCTTCAGATGTTCTATGAAAAGAAAAAGATTATGAAGTTACTCTTAGTATAATTGCAAAATACAGAACAAGACTAAATTATAAAATGAGTGTAGGAATTCCACGTTAGTTCTAATGATTTTCAATGATAACTATTTCAGTGCTTTTTTTAAACATCCACAATAAAATTGTTTTAAGAAAAATTTTTATGTACCTTTGATTTCCTTATATCCTAAGTTTAGCTGGCCTGTTGGGTGGTCTAGCACAGTGTGTAACACAATGGCAAAAGTATGGTTAATCACAATAATGCTAGTTTTATGTCCTATAGGAAATGGAATGTAATAGTATATGAAAGTAACAAATCCTTATTTACTTATAGGGAGACTCAGAAAAAGATAGCATTAGATAGCAAAAGATAGCATTAGAAAAAGATACTTCACTCAGTAGTACATCTGTTTTAGGGTATTTAAAAACTTTTAGGGGCCATTCTCTAGAATTTTGACCCACTGGACTAAAGAACAGTTGAGATTTTAAACAGATAATCACAATAAATTACTATCAATGTTGCAGAAATCAGTTGCTCAGATGTTTGAAAACACAATTTGAATATAAAACTACACTTAGTAAGCTCACTTAGATATTGCCTTTTTTGGGTAACCATTTTATCTGTCTCTCTTGGATCATCCCAACTCAGTTTTATCATACAATGAACTGTTATGTATGTAAAGGATGTACCTGCCAAGCCTCCACCTTCTTTATGTCTGCACAGGAACCATTGGTGAAGAGCCCTCTCCCAGGCAAACAAGTATATATATCTTGCAAGGCATGAGCAATAGAGTAGACTGCTAAGTAGACATTGTAGGATATCCGTAAATGTGTATAATCCATGTAAGGGGTCTCAACACTGCTGATGTTCTCATCTCCTGTACAGAGAGGTCGGAAGGCAGTGGAACTATTGTTTATTCTGCCGCCACCTTCTTCTCTCAGGAAGGTGTCCATGGGTAATGGTCCTTTAGCACCTTCTTGGAGGTGGCAGTTAAATGTTTCTTCCCAAAATTCCTTGGCAAAACCATTGTGGATAGACTTCCTGGGATGAACTTTCTGCAGGAATTCCCGGAAACCTGGGATCTGGCCGGCCTTCAGAGCAAATCCAATGGTGCCTCCGACCACATGGAAGTACTCGGGCATAGCAATCAGGGAAGAACTGGCCCATGCCTCGCTGGCTAGCCAGATCCTGCCTGTGATATTGCGCCGGACAATTTCCTTGATGAGGGGTTCAAGGTCTGGACCACTGGAGAAAACTACGATGACTTTAGCTGTGGAATTCTGGATCACCTCCACCACTTGCTGGATCTCTTCCTCATCAGAGTACTGGGAGATGAGCTCACTGAAGTCAATACAGATGTCCCGCTCTTCAGCTTCCTCTCGAAACTTCTCAATCCCCGGCCGGCCATAGTCATCATCAGCAGCAATTGTGCCCACCCAGTTCCAGCGGAAATATTCGATAATGTCTGCCATGGCAGTGGCCTGGTGTTCATCATTGGGGATGGTACGGAGGAAGGACTTGAATTGATTCTTGTTGCTGAGTAGTCTACTGGAGGAGGCATAGCTAACCTGGAAAGAATCAAAACCAGAGTGAATGAGATGCCAGGTGGGTGTTAAAGCTGTATGTGGATGGCTTTCTGAGTTTTCATTAATTCTCATTTACTTTATTTTTTTATATTTTATTTTATATTTTTTACATCATTTTCCATTTTTGCACAATGTATGCATTTTCATCTTGGTTATATTCCCTGTTCAATTCCCACCTCCCTTATTTTCACCCTAATCCCTTCTCTCTTCCCCCCTCATTTACTTTAGTACTTAAGATAAAAGTACTCTTCATTGCAGTCATTTCTAAGAATTGTTTATCATTTAGGCTCAATTAGTCACTTGGGTTCATTAGGCTTACTTCCTCTGCACTGCAATAACAATGATGTATGTCATCTAATGTAGTAAAAAAAAAAAATCCTTTCTTCTGGCTTCACAATGAATTCAAGCACCACCCAGAGCTCTTTCCTCTGTTCTTTTTTCAGGTGATGCCTGAGGCTACTTTAATAGGCTTTTGCTGTGGGTTTCCAAAACCTAGAGAGGCTGAAAAGGAAGCCTGGAGAAGTTGCCTTGGTTATTTCCATTTTCTAAGATATAGCCAGTTCTTCATCTGAGCATGGGTATGGGGCACCAAGGAAAGAGAGCCTTTAATGGTGAAAGATCGTTGTCTGAAGAAATACTCAAAATCATGCAAAGCATCCCTTAGTGCAGAGCTTCCACTTATTTTCACATTACAGCAAACAGAAGATGGAATGAATCGAAGAGGCTGACCCAACCTGGCAGGGAGTGCGCTCACCACTGTAGGCCCCACTAGCCAGCCCAGAGGACCACATCTTGGTCGTCTCTGGCCCATCAGCCACTCTCTGGTGTGTCCTGGATCACCAGTTAGGAAGCTCCAAGTTACTGGAAGATTTTTTTCACAAGTGGAATGCATTTTTACACTTTATAGAATTTTTTCTTGTTAGAGAATGAGTGTTTGCTATCTCTTGTTCTATAGTTTCCTAGAGATAGGTTAAGTCTAAGGAATTTGAGGGAATGCCTTTTTAATATTTCTCACCATTGAAATAATTACTTCATATGTTCAGCATTTCAAATGATTTTCCCATATATTCCTTCTTATCAATACTTTCTACTTCAAAAAACTTAATAATTACTGTGCTTAAAAGAACTGGGCCAACTTTAAGAGTGGACTTGACTTTTCTGACGAGAACATTGTGAAATTAATCTTTTTTCTCTTATCAGAATGAGCCCCTTCTCATTCCCACTCTACTGTGGGAGCTCACAAGGTAGGTAGTTTATTTTGAAAAATGGGCAAAAAAGAGCTTAAAAGGATAAATCACGAAACAAATATATCCCTATGGGTATTTTTCTCACAGAGAATGTATTTATGGTACTTGTCCAGTTTTTAAAAAGCAAATTAAGAAATTGGGGGTAAGTACCACTTTGTACCCCTCAAAAAACCCCTTAAAAACACACAAAACTTTTTTTTATTATAAGCGGGGAGAATTTCATGAATGACTCAGAAAACTGTTTCAACCACAACTTGCTCTACCTGGTCTGTTCGTTCCATCCACTTGGTGGCATGTGTCTCCCGAGAGATGCCACTGGGCTCTGCCCCCATGCTGCAGAGCTGCACTTCACAATAGCTTGGGACATTTCCAAAACTCCTGCTGCTCAGGTTGCATTTTATGTCAACTAAACCAGGATTTCTGGGGGATGTGTGTGAGACCCAGGTATCCATATTTTAAAAGTCCCCCAAATGATTCCAATGTGCAGCCAAGGCAGAGAACCACTGCAGATACAATCTTGGTTCAGAGTGGTAATCATGAATATCTCGGCATTTTTATAATTCAAATTCAGCCTAATTGTTTATCCAAACCACAAGGAAACCTTTCCTTTCAGGTTCTTTGTTTGATGGCAATTACATCGTATATCTATTGGCCATGACAATTTAATTATGTATTAAAATAATACTGCACGATACTTAAAAGATGCTTGTTTTCATATTGCCCACCACATTTAATGATGTGTGCCTTCTTTGATCATTTTGGGACAAAAGTTGCAGAGCCAGGGCTTCCCCATGGGAAGCACCTTTAATTCTCTGAAGTAAGGATTTGAGAAGTGATGACAAGACTTTTTCAGTTGCCATGTGTATATAAAGGGATAATGGCTATCACCAAGGACAGACTCCCAAGCTAGAAATGTTGAATTTATCTAAGTACTCTTACAAATTTCAAATCTTAAACATTGAAATGTAAATTTAAAGTGTGATTTATAATTTAACTTGAAATTTGATGTAAGGAATGCCTCACAATTAAGCTGTTTCTCCTATCTACAAATATCTAGGTTGGCTCCAATTTTGCAATATTATAAAATAATGCTATGGATCTATAAATATTAGTATAAAAAGATTTTTTTCTATAATGTTAAGGGAAAAATAAAATGGAACTTAGAATTTGCTGTCTTTTTGCTTTGGTGAAAAAATTTTTAACAAAAATGTTCATAAATAACTTGTTTCAGTGAATTGTCAATATTTGAAAATGGAGATATCTTTTCACCGAGACTGAGTTTCTGAGGAGTGGAGGCTGCTTATTCATATACACTCTATAAATATCTACTGAATGAAATACAATATTTTCCAATTCTAGAAAGTGCATGACAATATTTGCATATTTTTTGTTAGAAATTGGACTGTTTCCTTATGGTTGAACTAAATTTTCAGTCAAACAGTAGAGAGACAGAGACTTAAGGAAGTAGGGTTAAGGATAAATGTTTTGGGGCCTCCCCGGTGGCGCAGTAGTTGAGCGCTGGGTTGCGAAGCTGCCCGAGGCCTCCACGGCGCTGGTTCTATCCCCGGCTGCTCCCCGGCCACCGGAGGAGGGTCCTACATGGCGCGCAGACCTCTCCTGCCGCCCGCTGCTCCCCTCAGCAGTGTACTTCGGTCCTTCTGCCTGCTCTGCTCCCCGCTCTGGCTCTGGTGAATTCTCTCACCCTCCCACGCTTCTGACTGTACCCAGTGCATGTATAAATAAATAAATAAATGTTTAAAAAAAAAAAAAAAGGATAAATGTTTTGGGTTTGAAAGGTATGATTTATATTATATAACTTCATCCCTTTTAGTAAAGGCCAAACAAAGGCCACTTATTAAAGGAATTTAATGGAAAATAAATAAACAATTTGGTGAAAAAAACAAGTTTTATACAAGGTATATTTAAAGGAATTTTAGAAGATTCCCAAAGATCTAGTTGACATTGTAATCTCAGAATCCTAAATGGTCATAATATAGTGCCCTGGGGACTTACAAGTTTCTTTTATGCCATGGTAAAATCAGATATAGGAAATTAGCTAACTGCAAGGCCACTGGGCATGGCACTACTTGGAGCGCGTTTCCTGACTCCTGCCCACAAAGCCCATCTAGGAGGCACAGTACCTGGGGAATGTAGAAGAGCCCCAGCAAGTTCGCCACTGCAGTGGAGATGCCAGAGCCAGTGGCTCCCACCACTGCGATAGTGGAGGGAATGTGCTCTGAGCAGTTGCAGAACTCATCAAGGTTCAAAGAATCGATTTTGTTCTGGGCCACAAAACTCAGCGTGGCCTCCAAAGCTTTAGAAACAGTGTTGCAAGTGTCAAATATCCTGTATCCCAGAGTCATATTAGGTAGAAGCGCAGGGCTGCTGTTTATTTCCTCTATGGCAAATATCATAGCTTGTAACCAGCGAAATCCTCGGAAATTGTACCTGGAAGAAAGAAGGAATAGGAAATAGAGATTTTCTGTTCTATTCCATTAAATGCAGATTGGACGAAGCTGGGCTTGGCGCTTGTCTTTGTTAGCTTTGGTTTCATGACATGGTGTTCCTTGAGACTCAGTCCTCACTGTAAAATGGGGAGCACACCTACCTCACAGGGTGGCTGTGAACTTGAGATAATTATGCACAATTGTCAGCCTGGGCCTTAACAGAGCTAGGGCACAATAATAATGAAGACTGTTATTAGTAATAGAATGAGTAATTTCTATCTGCCTCATCTGGCAAAGAATTCAAAGTAGCTGATGTGAGCTACTTTACTGAAGTAATATATAGAGACTTAGGAAGAAAAAGAGCCAGATTAAGGTTTTAATACATGGAGCTTAAATAACCTCAGAATGCAGAGTAAAAAAATCTAGACTATGACAATCCTGGAGGCCAAAGGGAAAGAAAGGGCAATGAGTGGTTGTATTTTTGAAAAAGAAAGATTATATGTAGAAGGCTGTACATACACAGTGGTTATTTCTGGGTTGTGAAATAATAAGTTTAATATATGTGCTTTTAGCATGTTTATACTATTTTAAAAATGAAGATATTTTTAAAGAAGAAAATTATTTTAAGTAAAAATCAAGCCAATTAACAAAGAAAAATAGGGCCAGAGACATAGCTTTTGTTCTTTTAAGACTTAACTCTGAGTGAGGGCTTGACAATTGTGAAACACTCGTGTATCTGTGACCAAAAGAAAAAATAAAAAACTTTGCAGTTTCTTTATGTGGTGGGTGTCACCACTTGAACTAAATGACTAAATGAAAGAAATGATCGTTTACATTCCATAGTACTGTTTAGGTTCCTAAGAGTGCTGCGTAATTTTTAATGCAACGGCTTCTCTTAGTCATTTTCTTGTTTCCTTCATTTATTTGTTTCATTCTTTCTTTTAAACCCACATAAAACATCTATACTGCCAAGCTGATTTTACTACCTTTAATCTAATTAAGAAAATAACCTATTTCAGGGCAATCTTCTTTCTTGATTTTTGGGTAAATACGTGGCACATGCACAACTCTATCCAGCAGGTTACAAAAAAGAGGACATTTGTCCACACAGGTTATGCTAAGGATGTAATCAGCTTCAGTGAAATTCTGCTTCGTTTTTTGCATTCATAAATGTGAAAAGGTTACCTATTATTTTGTGAGATCACACTAGAATATGAACAGAAACCCAGTTTTATTGCAACAATTCTAGTTTTCCTTTTCATTTTCCAGTTAAAGAGATATTAGTGAAAAGTGCTGGATCCTTCTGGAAGTGGCAAGTCTCAGAGAGAAAGTGCTAGTCTCTCTCAGAATGTGGGTTAAGATTTGTGGTGCAGTAGTGTTCTCCAGATTAAGGGAAGTGACATATTGAAAATTGTCCTCTGCAAAATCAGATCCCATTTGAAGGAACTGGGCCTAGTTTTAGATGCCGTATTCTAAAAATATCATAATAATTAGTGAGCAGCAGATAGAGGGCAACTAACAGTAGTTGAGGGGTCTGGAAAACTTGTCATGGAGGAACTGGTGAAAAAACTGAGGCTATTTGGCCTGGAAGAGAAACAATTTAAGGAGATATGTTATCTGTCTTCCAGTGAGAGAGTGAGATGTAACTGTGTTAGGGGCAGGTTGGTGGGTGTAGGGGTGGGGAATGGGGTGGGGTTTGTGCTCAGATTCTCTAAGGAAGACTGTCTAATGGGAGTGATTCCAGCATGCTATGGGCTGCATTTTGAAGCTGCCTGGGTAGTGTGGACCACTGAGTGCCTTACACTATAAAATCCTTAAAAAAAAAAAAAAAAAAAAAAAGACTGGGACAGCCCACACTTATTTAAGTATTAGTGACAGTGGGGTATGTAAGGCCAATGGGAAATTTTACAACTCAAGTTTGCAAATTAATTTCTTCTCGGTATTTATCTCCCATTAGGCAACACTTGCTGCCAGGTAAACAGGAATATGCTCTGACAGGACATAGGGGTTTTTATTCAGAATCTCTGACATTTTGTATTTGGAATTTTTTTTAGAAAAGGGGAGAGGGAAATAGTAAGCTTTTAAGCATGATTTTAATCACCATTTTTTTTTTTTTGAAAAGAGAGAACAAGTTTGGAAAAATAATTTGGGTTTGTTTGGTACAGCATTTCTTCAATCGCCCAAAAAAGGCTCTCTGACCCACCTCTTCCCTTACCTGATACATTCCACAGACTCTGGCCTTGATTTGAGATCTTGATCTTTGGCTGCTACTCCAAAATGAATAGGAAAGAGTCCCCCAAGGATAATGTCCCCTTTCTTCTGGGCTCGCTGATCAGGCCCATAAGCAGAAGCATGCCAGGTGAATGCCCAGAGGATCAAACAGCAGCTATAAAATGCCATAGTTCTGCTTTGTCTCCAGGGGGAGAGACAAAAATACTTGTGGTTTGGGGGCCTTAAGAACTTTCCCCCTTGGTGCAGTTTACTCCTTGTGGTGGGGACACATGTCTATATAGCTATGAATATCAAAATGGAAGCTTTGATGTTTGAATTTCCATTTTTGTCTTCTCCACTGCAAACTGGCAATTTAGGTAGTTCTTGAGTTTTTAAAAGCCACATCATGCAGAGGCCATCTTTGATGCTTCCTAAAAGGAAAGAGATACAATGAATTTAACTGACCCTAAATCCCATCTTGTTTTGATGACTGCCACAGAGGTGGCTCAGAATTTCCATTTAGAGAGGCTGAAGCTCTTAACCATTACCATATGTTGCTCCTTGTCCCTTAGGGACCCACTTCCTTTTCTTTTTTTTTTTTTTTTTTAAGATTTATTTATTTATGCATACAGGAGCTGGGGTACAGGCCAGAGGTGTGGGGGTTGAAAGGATTCACCAGACACAGAGTGGGGAAAGAGAACAGGTAGACAGACTGAAATACACTGCTGAGGGGAGTGGTGGGCGGGACAGGAGAGGTCTGCTGGTCCATGTGGGTTGCTCCTTGGCCAGCCGGGGATCGAACTCATGCCTCAGAGGCTGTGGGTTGCTTCACAGTGTGGTGCTTAACCCCTTGCGCCACCAGGGAGGCCCCTGGACCCACTTCCTTTTCAACAGTGATTCCAGTAGAGGGTATGGGGCCACCCCATTTTGAAGGAGTATTCCAGCAGACACTCAACATTCTTGGAATTATCTCTGATAATGTCTAAACATCCATAACCATTCTGCTTCTCTGACTCTAGTCCTGCTTTTGGATTTTTGGCTGCATTCTTTGGCCCTTGGTTATATATTCATCCATACATTTAATATGTACATGTGTGAAAGCCTGGGACTATAATGGTAACAAACACATATCCCCCTTCCTCAGTAACTCTGAATCTAGGGGCAGGCACACTAGTGATGAGGATTAGAATTTAACTCAACATTCGAAAGTGAAAAAAATATTGTAATTTTTTGTTTTCTATGACTTAAGTTCAACTTAGCAGCGCGTGGAATAGTAACAACTGAATGTTTGTTGGATGAATGCATAAAAAAGAAAGTACTTTGAAAGAAGATAGAAACTAGCATTTATTGAACCAGGCATTGTATCAGATCTCCAAATATTCTATGTATTTGAAACCCCACAGTTGTAAGAGGGCAGTAACAACTCCATTTTGTAGATGAGAGAATAGATTGTCCATATATTCTGCTTACTCAAGTGAAAAATTCTAGCACTTCAATTAAGAATGCCTCAAGAACTCAGAATTTAAAGGAGTTTCATGTAGTGTACTGAATTAAGAGAGGGGACATTACAACTGGTTAGGGTGAGTCATTAAGATCTGTTAAGTTTTTCCTGTGAAAAATTAACTACTTGGAGAAATTTATTAACTTCATTAGTCCATTTAATAGAATATTTAAGGCAAGAAGTAATAGATGAGAGATTTCTGGTCAATTTACACCAATTAACTCTACCAGTCTAATTGTAGTCTCCAAACCACCAGTTTTAGCCTAATTACCAGAGTCTAACTGAGATTCATTCTAGATCCTCCCTTTCCTTTTCCTCTAACATCTATCACCCTGTTGATAGATGGTAGATCTCCCTGGGAGGGGATCAAACTTGTGCTGCAGTGGCTGCAGATAGTTTCATAGGTTGAATCTTAACCCCTTGTGTCACCAGGGAGGCCCGCTATCTGTAGTTCTTTTAATGCTACAATAAAAATAATTTTAGCTGGCAAGTTGTTGTCCAAAATAAAGCCCTCTTTCCCCAACTTTATAAAACGTGTGGTCATGTGACTAAGTGTTGGCCAATGGGATTTAAGGTGAAGTGCTCTATGGCTGCTTCCAGGAGCATTAAGTAAGAAGGAAGAGCTGTTCTATCATCTCTCTCCATTTTCACTTCCCTATTCCATTCCTGTTGCCACTGCCTTAGTCAGCCTTCCATTGTGGCACCATCAATCCCACCTCACCCCCAACTTCCCTGTTGCAAACGCTTTCTCTTCTGTGTCCTTACTCCGTCCATCCTCCACCTACATATCAACAACCAGAGGAGTACCAAGCATGATCGTAGCACAATGGATTAACAACTGGAATTCATACCTGTGACTTCCGTTGGCATTAATTAGAACACAAAAGTTCTCATATAATCACTAACACTTCAGTTTTAGTGTGGTGGAGTCTTTTAACTGTATCCCTTCTATCTGTAGTTCTCTTAAATATTTTTTTAAGATGTATTTATTTAAGCTAAGCTAAGGAAGCAACCCAAATGCCCAAAAACAGATGAGTGGATCAAGAAGATTTGGTACATATACACTCAGCAATCAAAAAAGATAAACACATGCAGTTTGCAGCAACATGGATGGAGCTGGAAGGGATCATGCTCAGCGAAATAAGTCAGAAAGAAAAAGAAAAATACCGGATGGTCTCACTCATAGCAGGAATTTAGAAAACCTAAATAAGAGACCAGGAAAAAGACTAATCATTACAAAGTAAAAATCAAAATCTACAAGCAACTATAAACCAGAGACACACTACAGGGGGTGGGGGTGAGGGAACGGAGGGGCAGGGAAAGGAAGGACTAGTGTCAAAATAAGGGGGGGTGCAATTGTATGGGGAATATAACCAAAATGAAAATGCATACATTGTGCAAAGATAAAAAAAGATATAAGAATTACATAAAATAAAATATTTAATTAAAAAATAAAATAATAATAATAATAATAATAATAATAAAAGATGTATTTATGTACACAAGAACTGGGGTACAGGCCAGAGTATTGTGTGTGGGGGGTGAGAGAATTCACCAGAGTGGGGAACAGAACAGGTAGACTGACTGAAATACACTCCTGCGGGGAGCAGTGGGCGAGGCAGGAGAAGTCTGCTGCACCAAGTGAGTTGCTCCCTGGGCGGGGATCAAACTTTTGCTGCAGTGGCTGCAGACAGCTTCATAGGTTGAATCTTAACCTCTTGCACCACCAGGGAGGCCCGCTATCTGTAGTTCTTTTAATGCTACAATAAAAATAATTTTAACTGGCAAGTTGTTGTCCAAAATAAAGCCCTCTTTCCCCAACTTTATAAAATGTGTGGTCATGTGACTAAGTGTTGGCCAATGGGATTTAAGGTGAAGTGCTCTGTGGCTGCTTCCAGGAGCATTAAGTAAGAAGGAAGAGCTGATGTGTGCCCCGTGTCTCTTCAAGGCCCCTTCCTCCATTCTGCTGCACGGAGGTGGACATGGAAGTTGGAGCCCATCCCATGAGCTACATCCCAGGCAATGACACTGCCAACAGCTGAAGATTCACGGGGCACAACCACAATTTCAGGTTATTCCTGGACTTTAAGATGAAAGAGGAAAAGAAGCTTCTGGTTTGTTTAAACCATTTGTTTAAGTATTTTTTCATACAGCATTATATTAGCAGTATCTATCTGAGAAGTACAAATAAGCTCATTTGTTCTCTTTATTTAAGCTTATTTGATTTAAATCATATGTAATCATGTTTGCCTTACTGCAAAAAAAGGATTGCAAATGAAAGACAAAGCAAGTATTTGTTCTTTTCCTCTATGGCAGATATATTCTGGAAGAAATGACCCATAGGACCAGATGGTTTCATGTTTAAAAGGTCCTTGAAATCATGAGGAGTGTTTCAGTCCTGACAGATGATTACTCATTCAGTTCACCACCCAAGAGACATGAGCTGGAAGATCAGGCCAGACTGGACCATGATTCCATAGGTTCATAAACTTGTAAATTCATGCAGTTGTTTATTCATTCAAAATACATTAACCTGACTGCGCGGACACTACAGAGCACAAAGCTCTTGGGGAAAGAAAGCTGAGATTCCTGCCTTCAAAGTGCTCATGGTTTAAAAGGAGACAGAAAAATGTATTATAATCACAGTGATGATGGGCCTCCCCAGTGGCTCAGGGGGTTGAGCGCAGTGCTGCAAGGCTGTCTACAGCCTCTGCAGCGCAGGTTCGATTCCCGGCTGGCCAGGGAGATACCCACATGGTGCGGCAGACCTCTCCTGTCTTGCCCGCTGCTCCACTCAGCAGTGTGTTTCAGTCAATCTGCCTGTTCTGCTCCCCGCTCTGACTCCGGTGAATTCTCCCACCCTCCCACGCCTCTGACTATACCCCAGTTCTTGTATAAATAAATAAATGTTAAATAAACAAACAAATAAATAAATAAAGTGTGCTATGGTTTAAAAAAAATAATCACTGTGATGCAAATGTTCTGGAGGGGCATGAATGAAATGTTGAAGGAGCACAAATGAGTGAGTGATTTTCTTTATGGTAACTGCCAAGAGAGCGAATTAAGTCAAGGTGGGGACTGGAAGTTTCATGAGGGTGGGCTCTGTCTCTTCCTCAACATTGTAACCTGCCACGAAGCAAAGTGCCTGGAACCTAGTAGATGCTCCACAAATACTAGCTGAATGAGTGAATGTAGCATAACCAGTAAAACCAGGAGCTGGTGGAGCAATTTTAGGATCGAACTTTCCTCTAAGACTGAAGATTCACAAGGGCAGGGTCTTCATCATGATCACAGTTGTATCTCTAGTCTGGAGCTTGGATGGCTCAGGCCATCCAAGTTCCATGGCTCATCCAAGTTCCAGGCTCAAGGACAAATTAAAAGAGGACAACGAGGTAAGTTTAGGAGTCAACATCCCAACTTTTCAATTTCATGAAAGTAAAAACCACATCTGGCTCTTAACATTTCAGAGATCTGGTAACTCTGGAAAATGATTTTGTCCATATTTCAGCTAGGAAAACAGAGTTGAACATAAAGCCATTCAACAGAGGTACTACAAACTCAAAAGCTACAATTTCTTACTTCTTGAAATGCAGAAAAAAATTTCTAGGTTGTCAAGAGAAAGTAAGGTTATGAAACCAAAATCAATTTCCAGTAGGTAGTTAGTACACTGATGTGTCTCTGGCCTACTGTATGGTGATCTTTACCTTCTTGTCACTAATTGTAAGGTGTGAAGCCACCAGTGCAGAAAGGTGAAATGTGCATGTTTTAATGTAGATAAATAGGGAAAAATCTGAGCAAGTTCAACCAATAATCACAAACCCTGTGTACCTGGCTCTGGTTACAGCTTTCTTTACCTCTTGCTGAGGACAGATCCACAATGTGGGTTTTTAAACATGCCAGGTACACATTTGCCAAAGAATTAGGGACATC